TAATTAGCGTTCAAGATTACTGACAGTTTCTTTTCTTTTATTGTAAAATAATTATGCAACGACACTCACAATGCTTAAGTGGACAATTACTGAATTTTGACAAATGCATATGCCTGTGCAACCCAAATTCCCATTGACATACAAAACTCTATCATCATCCAAGAAATTTCCCTCATGCCCCTTCCCAGTAAATCCCCATCCCTACCCACCAGAAGCAGCTTCTACTCTCTCTTTCTTCATCCTGGATTAGATTAGACTCATTTAGTACTAAATATAAATTAATCCTACAGTATGTACTCTGTAAGATTTCTTTCACTCCACATAATGTTTTTGAGATCCATCCATGATGTTGTCTGTATCAGTAGTTCTTTCTGCTTTATTGCTGGTTAGTATTCCATTATATGAACGTACAATATTTTCTTTATGCATTTTCCTAATGGTAGACACTTGGGATGTATCCAGTATATGTTCTTTTATATAAAAATGTGAGAGCTTTCCAAAGTGGTTGCATCATTTTACCCTTCCACCAAAAATTAATGAGAGTTTCAGTTGCTGGACATCTTCACCAATATTTAATGTTAGCAGTCTTATTAATTCAAGCCATTCTGGTGGGTGTTTAGTGGTATCCCATGTTTTTAATTTGCTGTTACTTGATAATTAATGATATTAAGCACTTTTTCATGTACATAGGGGACAACCATATATATTCGTTAGTGGTTTGTTCAGATCTTTTGTCCGTATTTTAATTGTGTTTTTTGTATTTTTATCTTTGATCTAGAGGATTATTTATATATCCTGGCACCAGTCCTGGGTAATATACATATTTTGTGAATATTATCTCCCTGTCTATGGGTTGTATATTCATTTTATTGATGTTACTTTTGAAAGGCAGCTTTTCATTTTGAAGTCATCTAATTTATATTTTAAAATGTCCTATTTATTGCTTTTTGTGGCCTAAGAAAGTTTTACCTACTCCCAAGTCCCAAAGATATTTTCCTTTAAAGCCTTATGTTTTTAGCTTTTGCTTTGGATAACAGTGTGTGGTAGAGATTGAGGTACATTTTATGCCTACTTCTCAGTATTGGTGGGATTATTGAGAGATAATCCATGCAAAGCTTTAAGTATAGAATAAGTTCCCAGTATTAACATTAGCTTTTATTATATTATTGTAATTATACGGCTAACTCACTAATAAAGAACAGATCTAATGATGTTTTGCTATGGCTATAATATTCTATTTTTAAGGCGTTGTATGAATATGATTTTATTTGTTAGGTAACTGAGCCCCAGAGAATTTAACTGGATTTAGAATTTGAAGTCAAGCTCCTGTGGAACCTATGAGCTTCTTATTCAAAGTCCCACATTTAATTTTCTCATTAGGTTGATGTAACTCTTGTGCATAGTAATTAAATTTCAGGGAGTTTAAACTTCAATTTCCCAGACATTTCTTGGAAATAAATTCCATTACTTTATAGTAGGCAGCAACACTTTTAATACATAGGGCATGCTTTTCTATTATCCTATAATTTATAATATAGCTTCTGGAAGCACCTAGTAAGAGCCTGCGAAAATATTGTTTATAAAATAATAAATGAAATCTATTATTACACAACCATCAAACCATTTTTGATAAGCTGGCATAGCTAGTAATATGTGATGCCTACTTTTATTTCAGATTTTTATCAACTTTTTATCTAAATCCATTTGTCCTATAATCATTATAATAATAATCAAATGACTACCTAATTTCAATGCCTTTTAAAAGTACCTGATTGTGCTTAAATGCAAAGGTTACTTTCTTATGGTCAGAATTCATAGAGTTTAACACTCAAGGTTTAGATGGTGGTATAGAGAAAAATTTGCATACCACTTGTGGAGAAATGTCTTTTTTCCTGTTTAGCATGTAATAGATCTAGAGACAATGTATAGCTCTAGATAGGGAATGTGTGTGCATATGTAAATCTAGGTATAAATGTAATTACAGGTGTTGATATTGGATGATTCAGATATAATGTATACAACAAAATGTAAATGCTCACAATAAAATTATCCTATTCATAATAGTGTCAATTTGAAGTTTTTTAGGTCTCTTTATATATTGTAGTCTTATAATTTTTTTGTCCATAAAAAATTAGTTTATTTGCTTATGCTAGTCACCAAGCTAATAAAAAATAGCTCATGAGCTTACTTTAATTTTCATGTACATAAGAAATATTTGACTGCTGCAACATTTTCTTTTAAAAGTAGAATTATGAAATCCTCCAAATAATCTAATAAAGTTTTATTGCATATTTCTTAACTGCACACTCTTTTCATAATTAATTTTAAAACCCTAGTGTTAGCTGAATATTGGACACTACTCAAAACAGTCCTATTTTTAATAAAATTTATATTATTTCTTAATGATCACTACTTTTAATTTTATCAAGATTAGCAAAGTGTGTAGTTGAAATCTGTTTAATTCAAAGTCTTAATCATTCAGCACTTGAAAGATTCTGGCAATACTCTAAAATTGCTACCACTTTTAAAATTTTTTTTTGTACCATTTGATAAGTAAATATACATATATAGCAGGTATATGTTGTCTTAGCCACAAAATTAGCTGCACAAGAAATAAAAAATATTCTTATAAAATTTAATTTACATATTTGGCCTCCATCGCACTATAGATCGGAAACTAAGCCCCAATCTGTTCAGTTCTCTTGTTTTTTTACCTGGGGTTGCATCATTGTACTAAGAGGCTTACACTGCACCAAAGCGTTCGAGGGTGACATTTGGTCATTGGTAGCCTCATGATTCAACCTGGCATTTGCCAAGAGAGGCTCATTCTTATCTCCACTTAGTCTACATTCACCGCAGGTCACTACTCCTCTCTCCTTTGAGGCTCTTTTGGTCTCTCGTCCTCAACACCTGAGACATCACCAGTCTCCCCAAATCTCTAAGACCTTAAGAACAAAGATCTCACCACCTAGGACTTGGCCTCAGGTGGCAGAACACAGAGAACCATTCGAGACCATCTGTTGATTTCCCTCCAAATCTTCTCTATCCTGTGAATCAAGAAAACAGTTCTCCAGCAGTTGGGGGTCAACACAAGCACTTACTGATTTTGGTTTTCTTCTGATGTTTTTGTTTATGTGCTGAATCATTTTTAACAGACTAAATGGCTAGGGTTTTTTTTTTTCAACTCAAAATATCTATAAGGTTAGGAAACTTAAAAGATCTTTCTCAGTTTCTCTGCTCTATCATTCACAATTTGTGGCAAGGGATACTGCTTAGTGCGTGGGGGAACCACAAAGAATGCAAGTCAATGGGACAGGGGAGGAAATTCCATTAATGTCTCAGAATACCATCCCACCACATACTTATCCCCCTGAATTCTTTTAAGAAATTTCTTATAACCTTATAAGAAAACATTATAATTTTCAATTTAGCAATGATGAAATTGAGGCTTATTGCTCCTGGCTAATTTCCCTGAACCCAGCTCTCAATCTTTACCCCTTCTTGGCACAGGGATCCTCTAAGTCAGTGTTAGCAGAGCACCTTCTGCTCTGTGGCTACACCAGCAATGGATGCCTGAGATCTAAAATGAAGGTGACCATAACAAACGTTTTCTGATTAAATCATTAATAAAGATGAGAATGGAAAAACTCAAAAGCCCAGAAATACTTAATGTATTTTAATGTTCTAGTATCAAATGTCAAACATGATACAGATATGGTACAAACAATGTATGGATATTTTGCTATCAAATATATGAGTAATATATTTTTTATATCAAATATATTTTTTTATATGAGTAATAACCCCAACCCCTTATCCTTAAAAGCAAACTAAACCATATCAATTATTTGAAAAAGTAACCGTGTTTTTCCTCCTACTCATAAGCTCACTGAGTTGTGTTTTCTTGAATGTCAGATTCATAATCTGTTTTAGAACATTAATCCATTTTAATTAAATTATCTGACATATAATTCCAATTAATGTTATGGATAATTAACAAATGGAAACAGTAGTGGTCACAGATATACTACTCAAGGTGGTGTATATTTGGGGATATATCAGGGGAATCAATTATAAAATACAAATTTTAACATTCAGATTGTGAAATTTAGATCCTCTATACAAAGTATAAGGATTATAAGTGAAAAATTGAGTGATTTTTTTTCAAGTTTTCAATGCTCTTTGAAAACGTGTGATTTTTGTTTTTTAAAAAAAGCAACAAAATACAAACATTTCTTTAAAATACATATATTGAAAACCTAACCCCTCCAGGGATTTTCTGAGGATGTCCAAGAGGACTATAGAGATGAAAGTTTCAAAGTTGCTTTGGTGAGTGAAAAAAAAAAGAACATTCAAAAATGTCAAAATTGCTTCTTCTAAATGCTGGCTCTAGTCCTTCAATATCACTTTCAAGTCTTCACTACTGAGAGAGAGCAGATCTTCAAAGATCAAACTATTTGATGTGATTTTCCCTGAAAAACAGCTCTGGATCTGTTGCCTCAAAGGAAACCAGTTGCTCTGGATGATGGTGAATGAGAGAGCCTAAGGGGACTCTTGTCCTAAAGTCAAGGGGAACACAGGCAATGTAGCTCCAGAGCAAGCACTTATCCAAAAAGACCAACTAAGGAATACTACCTCTTCTCACACTAGTAGTTCTTTTTTTTTTTTTTTTTGGTGAAGAAGATTGGCCATGAGCTAACATCTGTTGCCACTCCTCCTCTTTTTGCTTGAGGAAGATTGTCCCTGAGCTAATATCTGTGCAATCTTCCTCTCTTTTGTATGTGGGATGGCGCCACAGCATGGCTTGATGAGCAGTATGTAGGTCTGCGCCCGGGATCCAAAACTGCGGACCCTGGGCCACCAAAGCGGAGTACGCAAACTTAACCACCACACCACAGGGCTGGCCCCCTGTTTGTTTGCTTTTAGTTGACTAATGTTATCTTTTAGTCCACCATAATTTTTTCTTTTTACTATTAAGGGTTCTTTTGTTTTTCCTTTAGGCTTGAATCACCAACCAGGTCCTTGATCATGGAAGCTCCTCGAGGGGTCCAGGTGAGTGCTGCTGCAGGAGACTTCAAGGCCACTTGCAGGAAGGAGCTCCATTTGCAGTCGACAGAGGGGGAGGTGAGTTCCAAGGTGTAGAGACTGGCCCTGCACTGCTGAGGGTGCTTCTCCTCCAAGTATATGCATATGGTTCCAGGCGAAACAGAAAGAAGTGCTTCATAAGAGAGCTTAAATTATGAGAATATTAACGTTTCTCCTTGAATATGAAATTTGGTAAACCTAATATTTTCTTAAGTCAAAGCTCCATTTATTTTCTGCTGAAAGATATTCATTCATAAGTCAGTTATAAATGGGGCATCTAAATTCCTGTAGTCTCAAAGTTGGCAGATAAACATAACGAATATCAAAATAATGTCAAGAACAAATCTTTGTTTTCTTTGTCCTGTTTTGGTCTTCAAAAGTACTATGGATGTTTGTTTCTTTGTTTCCGTAGAAATAGTACCTATATTTTTTGTAAAAGAGAAACAAAAAAAAGTTTATGTTACTATTTAGCCTAATTGTTATTTCCTATGTAAGGAGGTACGTGCTAATATTTTTCTTCCATGTCACTTTATTTCCCCCAGAATCTCCTTTAAGTCTGTTGTCATTCTTTTAAAGAGCATCTGCTTTTCCTCACTGCCTGCTTTTTTTTTTCTTTTGCTGAGGTAGATTAGTCCTGAGCTAACATCCGCTGCCAATCTTCCTCTTTTTGCTCTTTTTGTATGTGAGCCACCACAACAGCGTGGCCACTGACAGATGAGTGGTGTAGGTCCATGCCCAGGAACCAAACCCAGGCCACTAAAGTGGAGCATGCTGAACTTAACCACTGGGCAACCGGGGCTGGCCTCCTCACTATGTGCTTTAAAGACCCTCTTGCGGCCCCGTGGCTTAGCGGTTAAGTATGCGAGCTCCACTGCTCACGGCCCGGGTTTGGATCCCGGGCATGCACCGATGCACCACTTGTCAAGCCATGCTGTGGCGGCGTCCCATATAAAGTGGAGGAAGGTGGCACAGATGTTAGCCCAGGGCCGGTCTTCCTCAGCAAAAAAAGAAGGATTGGCATGGATGTTAGCTCAGGGCCGATCTTCCTCACAAAAAAATAAAAAACCCTTTGCCTTTGGTCTTCCACATTTTCACTCTAATGCAATAGACGTATATTTACTTCATTTACCTTATTTGCTATATACATTGTGATTGTTGTGTTTGCAGAATCACATTTTTGTCAATTTTGGAAATTCCTCAGCATTATGTCTTCAGATATTACCTCTCCCCATTTCTCTATGGCCTTTTTCTGAAACTCTGAAGAAACGCTGTCTTTTCATTCTCTTTCCCTCCAGATCTCTTAGCTTCTCCTTCCTAGCTCCTATTTTTTTGTCTCCTTGTGCCTCACTCTGCTTATTTATTCAGATCTACATGCCCAGGTGTCTAATCTTCAGTATCTAATCTCTTATTTAATCTCTCATTGAGCTTTTAATGTTAGTAATTATGTTGTTCATTTCTAGGATTCTCATCTGTTGTTTTTTCGAATCTGCCAGGACATGTTGGTGGTTGCTCTTTTCTTTGCTTGTTTGTTTTTAATTCTGTCTTAATTATTTCAAAGCCTTTTACGTAATACATACTCTATTCTGACTATTTTTACTGCAATTCCCAAAGTCCTTGAAAGCCTAAATCTGTTGCATTGCTGTTTCTACCAACTAATTCCCTTAGTATTTTCTTCCTTCATGTGCTTATTTATTTTTATTATGAGCTTACAAAGGTCAAGTTAAGTAGAAAAAAATGGAAGAAGAATTTGAGAGAGATGCTCTGGAGTATTTTATACTTCTTCAGACATAAAGACGAGGACATAAATTAATAGAATCAAAAGAGGATGTTCCTTTCTTATCTTTATGCCATTATCTTTGTTATTGATTCAAGATAACTTTTAATCACAGTCATGCACCACATAACAAAGTTTTGGTCAACGACACCTTTCATATACAATGGTGGTCCCATAAGATTAGTACCATAGAGCCTAGGTGTGTAGTAGGCTGTGCCATCTAGGTGTGTGTAAGTACACTCTATGGTGTTCACACTATGATGAAATTTCCTAATGATGCATTTCTCAGAACATATCCCCATCATTAAGCAATGCAAGACTGTATATATTTTGCTTCCTTTTTGTAAACAAACCTCCCAGCAGGACCATATTATCGTTTTAGTGGATATTACAACTTAAATGATCTAGAAATATGCTTTATAATATTTAAAAATCATATCCATATCACCTTTCAGGATTTCTTTCCACTACAATTGCAAACTACAATACTTGGCTACAGAAAGACAGAAATCTTTCTTCAATATCTCATAGTATTTTTAAAAAGTTGCTTTTATCATGCCAATAATGCATTCAAATTATTCATAATGAGTCATCCCATAATGCATATTGGTGGTTATTAATCTCTGTTCTCCTATTTATGCACGACTTTACATGTGTTCTTTTATTCAGTGTAGCAACAGAATCCTTGGATTCAATTACAGGTTAGCATTTAACTGTGAATTGAGTGTTATGCTATAAATAAATCATAGCTAGAGGTTTTCAGCTGTGGTCATTTTTTTATATTAATAAAATAAAGATACAGAAAAGTACAGCACTTTATATTAGAATAAAATAGCATGTAATTTTCCTAGGAAGAAGTGTGAAATGATATAAAATCTTTCTCTTTGCTTCATTGACTACACACAGAAAGGCAGATTGATCATTTACTAAACAACATAGAAAAACATAAAGTTCCTACCCTTAGATAGTTGTAAACAAGTTAAGATCAGAACAGACGTAGTATTGAGGTAACCAAAACAACAGACAAAATGCCTAAGACCCAGAATTCTGCACTGCAGAAGGTTCAGTCATTTCAGACACACTGTTGCAAGGAATTTCAAATTTGGCTCTAAAGACAACATGAATCATGATTGTAAGTGGAACATTAAAAGCGTTATAATAGCATATGCAATGCAATAACAGAATAACATATAGATTACAAGATCACAGAGGAAGGAGAAAACAATTTTTATTTTGCAAATTGGTTAAGAGTTTCTATGACAGCGATAGGCCTGATTTCAACAGGTAAGAATGGGATAAATGAATTCTTGGTGGAGAGAAGACAGTGGGCTGTGACTTAAAACCTCAGGGGTGTAATTCTGAGTACGAGGAAGAGTTTCAGAACAAGTGGATTATATGGTTTATAGGGCAATATAAAATAGAAATATCAATTTTAGAAGTTGGAAAGTGAACAGTATCATAATAACTGCCTTAGCAGAACAGAAAGAGATACAAGCAAGCCTATCCATGCTGCAAAAACCTGGAGAAGCCTAGCAATGTTGGGTTGAAAAGAATCAATGTATGACGCTCCTTTTCACCCCATGACTTAATTTTCTGTCTCAAGCCAAGAAAATCCCATTTTCTCTTTTTAAAGGCCTCATTCATTTTAATTTATCTGTTAATAAAATGTACCTCCCTTTTATGGGTGAGGTACAGTTTGGATCTCAGAGGTTTATGGATTTAAGTATCGTCATATAGCCAAATACTGTCTAGAAGAGCCCCTGAAGGGAGAGATGGAGGCTGTAGCTAAACGGAAGCAGGTCACACACCATAAGGCCCAAATCCTCCCAGGTTGACTCAGTTGATGAGGCCTCCGCAGCCAAGCTTGGTTTCCAAGGCTGCTACCTGCATGCCCTACCTCTGTAAAAACAGCTACTCAGGCTACAGCAACAGAAAGATGATCCGTTCCATAACTAGAAAAACCAGCGATGTGGCATTGTGTCAACAAGCTTCTGCAAACCACCAGGGCTAACCAGTAACATTTATTTCCCTACTTACTAATAAATAAACCCTTGGGGGCCGGCCTGGTGGCGCAAACGATTAAGTGTGCGTGCTCTGCTGTGGCGTCCTGGGGTTCGCTGGTTTGGATCCTGGGCGCGCACCGACACATCGCTTGTCAGGTCATGCTGTGGCGGCGTCCCATATAAAGTGGAGGAAGATGGGCATGGATGTTAGCCCAGGGCCAGTCTTCCTCAGCAAAAAAAAAAAAAAAAAAGAGGAGGATTGGCAGATGTTAGCACAGGGCTGATCTTCCTCACACACAAAATAAATTAAATATATAAATAAATAAATAAATAAACCATTCACAAGATCTTAAAGTCATTTGATCAATCCCATATGAGCTTCCTTATCCACATGTTGTTTAGCTTTCCATGTTCCATTCTTTACTACCTATGTCTCAAGGTTTCTTGGCCAAAACACCAGCCCCTAACATTTCTTCAGAGTGAACTCACCTCCAAATACGCAAATCTAAAATCACACAGTCTCAGAGCTTGCCACCTATGAGCATTTGCCAAGCTTGAGAATGTCTGCTCTCTGCAAGCATGCTACCTCCTAAAAAGTGAGGAAAGGGAGGTGAGCTAGGCAAGCCCAGTTCATCTCTCAAACTCAACCTGTAAGAGGGGTCATCCCTCCTCTCCTGTGGAGACGTGAGTGAAAGAGCCCAGAGTGTGCAACAATTAGTGTTACACTCATTGATGTCCCTTGACATGGAGACACAGAGCCAGAAGAATGAGGCCCATCTATACCCAAAAAATGTATTGTCGTTTTCTTTGGCTTAGTTTTTTCCCCTCTCAACTTTCACATCAGAAAAAAAAAAAATAATAATCTTTAAAAATCCTGTCACTTAACCCAGAAGAAATTATGGGGTAATAAATTTTAGCCTTTGACACCTACAAACAAAAACTCTAATCATGCTTTCTTAACTTTGAATACTGTTGGTAAATGTGATAATTCATTTATTTTATAATCTATTCATGTATTCAATAACTAGTTGCATTTTCTGGAAGCTGTATGTGCATAGTCAAACACTGTGAAGTTATAAAAAAATTCTGATGTGATCCTACCTTCAAGAAGGACATAGTTTAGTAGGAAAAATAGGATATAAATATGACTATAAAATAACATATCAAGTGATCAGCAAAATAAGATATTAATAATAATAAATTGCTATGGGAGAATAAAACAAGAAGAGTCTTTCCATCTGGGAGCATCATGGAAAGGTCCATGGAGGATGAAGCAGATGAACTGGACTTTGGTGGAGGGTGACATTTGTACGCTAAAGGGGAGAGACATGTGCAAAGTGAAGGAAGAACGTCATTTCACGCAACATGTGCTGGTGCAATTCTAGGCACTGTTCTATAGCCATGGACCAAAGACAGGCCCTGCCCTCACAGATCATACTTTCAACTAAGAGAAACAAACAAAAACAATTGAATACACACAATATAATGTTAGGAAGAGATTCTCACTGTAGAGAATATAAAGCTGTCAAGAAGAGATTAATGGATTAGTGTTATTTTAATAGGGCAGTTAGGAAAGTCCTTTCTGAGAAGGTGACCTTTTAGTAGAGATCTGAACAAACACTATCACATCTAAATTAATCTGAAATATACATACCCATAGTATATGAGTCCATTTTCTGGTTTATTTGCTGTATGCAATCGATTCCTGTGTTTCAAAATCTAAAACCTATAAAAAAGGCAAACAGTGGCAATCTCCCTCCTACTCCTGTTTCCCTACTACCTATTTAATGTATAACCCCATTTGTAAATATCTGGAGAAAAGTATTTCAGGCTAAGGAAATAGAAAATAAAAAAGCCCTGAGGCCAGAGTTCTTTGGTATATTTGAGAAAATGCAAGAGCTGGAGCAAGAATTATAGGAAATGATGTTCGAGACATAGGCCAGGTCATATAGGGCTTGTGGGCCATGGAGAGGAATCAAGATTCAGTTGAAGTGTGGAGGGAGGAGGCCATTAGAGAATTTTGAGGGTCTTGTAACCGTAGACCCTCCAGGACTGGTTCAACTGACCCCATCTCTTATGAACAGAGTGATAAAGAATTGTCTTTCAGAAAAACTGCAAAGTCATGTAGCCAGATCATGCCTAAAAGAAGAAATCATGACCTGAAATGACCTCGGAACTAAAGATCCTCCTCCCCATGGAACCAAGGACGGAGCCATAACCGGAACTTGAAAGTCGGACTCTTATCAGAAGTGAGGGGTCCATCATTCAGGAAGATCCAGTGTTAAAATTCCTTCCCCACCTCATCAAAAATGTTTAGAACCCCATCATAAATGTTTAGAACCCTTCATAAATGTTTCAAACCTTACCATAAACGCTTGAAGCCCACCAAAAGAAAACCTATCCCAGCAGCATTTCTGCATGCCAGCCTGTTCTCCTTAACCTCTTAAATTTTGCCCCAAATCCTGAATTGGGGAGACAAATCTGAGGGCACACACCCCCTGTCTCCCTGCAGATCGATCTTGCAGAATAAAAGCTGATTTCTGCCCCCAAAGGCTGATGCCATAATTAATCGGCATGTTTATGTGCATTGGGCAGAGAACTCCAATTTTGTGCCATAACAGGGTGACTTGATTTGATTTGTATTTCTTAAAAGTTCACTCTAGGGCCGGCCCCGTGGCTTAGCAGTTAAGTGCGTGCGCTCTGCTACTGGCAGCCCGGGTTCGGATCCCGGGTGCGCACCGACGCACCGCTTCTCCGGCCATGCTGAGGCCGCGTCCCACATACAGCAACTAGAAGGATGTGCAACTATGACATACAACTATCTACTGGGGCTTTGGGGAGCAAAAAAAAAAGGAGGAGGATTGGCAATGGATGTTAGCTCAGGGCTGATCTTCCTCACAAAAAAAAAAAAAAAAAAAAAAAGTTCACTCTAGGGACCAGCCCAGTGGCATAGCGGTTAAGTTTGCACACTCCTCTGTGGTGGCCTGGGGTTCGGATCCCAGCAGAGCACCGAGGCACCGCTTGTCAAGCCATGCTGTGGAGGCGTCCCATATAAAGTGGAGGAAGATGGGCACGGATGTTAGCCCAGGGCCAGTCTTCCTCAGCAAAAAGAGGAGGATTGGCAGATGTTAGCTCAGGGCTGATCTTCCTCACACACACACAAAAAAAGTTCACTCTAGTAGTATGTAAAATAGACTGTAAGAGGACAAGAATGGCAGCTGGGAGGCCAGTTAGGGGGCTATTGCAGGAGTCCCAGTAAGAAATGAATAGGACTTGGATGAAGGCAAATATGGAGTATTCTGTGATTGTCCTGTGAATTTAGAGATGCCTTTAGGCAGTAATTAGCTACATAACAATAGAATGAGGAAATAGCTCGAGAGTTGTTTCTTTGCTCATTCAAATTCATGATTCAATTTTTCTTTCTTTGGAACTTTTCCCATGCACGTCAAAACCATATGATCACTGTCCCTGAAAGTGTTGAGTCCATGATTTGGAAGCAGTGAATAATTTTGCAAGTTAGAAGACATAGCAAAGTGGATGTTGACTACAAGTACTATGTATCATGGAGACTGCAAACCTGATTATATCTAATAATTATCTGTTGTTAATTGTGCAGATTTTCTACTTGGCATATGTTTTAAACTATCTGTCAAAGTGATTTTATGAGTATTTAAAAAAATTAGACCAGAGACTAAATTTTTTTTTAATTAATTTCCCATCTCTTCAGTAATGTCATCTCCATGAACATCCTTATTTCTTTATATATTCTTTAGGCATGATTAAGAAGTTAAATTGAGGGCCGGCCCCGTGGCTTAGCAGTTAAGTGCTCACGCTCCGCTATTGGCGGCCCGGGTTCGGATCCCGGGCGCGCACCGACGCACCGCTTCTCCGGCCATGCTGAGGCCGCGTCCCACATACAGCAACTAGAAGGATGTGCAACTATGACATACAACTATCTACTGGGGCTTTGGGGAGCAAAAAAAAAAGGAGGAGGATTGGCAATGGATGTTAGCTCAGGGCTGATCTTCCTCACCAAAAAAAAAAAAAGAAGTTAAATTGAGAGACTGTCAAAATCATTAATTTTCTGTGATGTTTGAATAACTGGGTTGGCCCCTTAAGCAGACTGTACAATATTGCTTTTCAAATCGGGCTTTCTGTCAGAGTGCACCATGTCCCAAAGGAGAAGATAGCTGCCGAGCCTTTGGGCTGTACTGTAGGAATGTAATTTGTTTGTTCAGCAAAGCATGGCAGCTAAAGCAATAGCATTGTTTGTTGTGTAGTCTTTCTTATTAGACCATGTTGTTAAGCTCTGAGGAATGTAGAATGCTAAAATGAATTAAAATGCGATTTCTTTTCCCCCTAGATATTTTTGAATGCAGATACAATCCGGCTGGGAAACCTACCGACGGGCTCCGTTTCATCTTCTTCACCTAGCTCCTCAAATGCTCGACAGACAGTGCATGAGCTGTGTGTCTGCCCTAACGGCAGACTGTACCTTTCTCCAGCGGGAGTAGGTTCTACTTGTCAGTCCAGTAGCAACATCTGCTTGTGGAACTGAAGGGACTGATTTCTCCTCACACCAGAATAGCCTTTTGTTCCTGTCCGTCTGCTTCACAGGTCTGCTCGGTTTCCCTTGTGATCAGTCCAGAGCTTCTTCAAATGGTCCACGGAGCAACTTCTTCCAGTGTAAGCAGGGATTCGCCACCACGTCTTGTGTGATTTACCGTACTGCTCAACACAGAAAGTGTGAATTACAGAACAGTGGAAAAATCATTTTCAGAGGGAAAACTGGATCATAACTTTTGCTCAAAAGGGAGAAAAACATAGGTGCCTTTGCTACATGAAGTGAAGCACACAGTTTTTGGTTTTTGCAGGACCTGGGTGTGAACTGCACACATATACGTGACATAGATGAAATTCCCAGTATCCAATGGCAAGATGAAATGGTCAACCCTGTAAGAAAACTAATTCTACAGTCTGAAAGCACAATTTTCCATTCATCTTTTTGGATGTAAACTTTTAACCCCGAATTTTAAAATTTTAAAGCATTATGTAATGCTTGCTTTACTAAAAGTTAAATTCAATACATAGTTTTTAACAAAACCCAACAAAACAAGACAGAATCCCCCCTGAGTTTTATTTGTTTCTTTAAATTCAATGTGTTATTACTCTTTGTCTACTTAGTCTAGAATTTTATACATTAGGTAATTTTGAAAGCACTCAGCAATATAATCTTTACAGAATTAACAAAATGCCATTATACTGTCATTTGTCAGATCTGAATGGCCTTATATAGTATTTACTTGGCTCTTGCATGTGATGTATTTGCTTTTAACAAAACATCTAATTTATTGCAATATAAGGTAGGATTAAGAGGGACATACTGATGGTGCAGAATTCATAGCTTTTTTTTTTTTAACTTCACATGCTATCCTTAACACCTAGGTTTTAATAGTACAATTTTTGTTTGCTCCATCCACTTTATACTCGACTCTGACTGCTCAAATTCAAACATCCTCTAAATAAACACTAAAGTGATGCGTAATGCTGAGAATGGATTCACTTTCCATTAGAATATCATTTTCAGAAGTATATCTATGTAGTTTTTTATTGGGGATTAAGATTTAAGAACAGTAGAAATTAAATTAAAAATCCCTCCTTAAACAGTAAAAAATATAAATGTTAACAAACATGTTGAAAATGTGTTTACTCCATTAGATTCATATTTTAATGAATTTAGTCACATTTCCTTTCACTTCTTAACATTTAGTTACTTTTATTAGACTGTTAAGCTACCCTGACATCAGAAATCATAGTTCCTTCCATTCTCCACTGCTTATTTTTGTAAATTAGCTCCTAATAAATAACTCCAGAATGCTGTAGATTCGTTTATCACAACACTCCTTAACTCAAATTCTTGAAACTTACAGGATCCAAGCATGTAAAATTGTATTAAATATTGCCTGTTATGGGGAGATGACTTGATTACTATAAGGTAAGTCCTTAATTTTCACATGCCAATCAATCTTTACTGCCCCCCCACCATGCACACTGTTACAGGTGTGTGGAAGCTTCATTTCAGGAGTCCATGACTGTAGAACCCTTGGAGTTCAGGCCTCTACAGCACGGGGTAAAGTGGGAGATTGGAACTTGAAGTAATTTGGTTAGTGAAAGTAGGAAAATTGGGTAATGCAAGCAACAAAGTGAACCATTTGGCAAGAATTAGCTTGTTTGGGTAACCTAACATATCAAATACTTGAAAAAACTCCATTTCACTAAATGTGTTCTGTACTCAGCAGAAAAGTCAGAAAGCTACCGTAGTTTTATTACTTTTAAAGGAGAATTTGACTTGTGTTTGGAGGTGATTATATAAAACTTTAAATCAATATTGGAGTAAAAATTAAGATGTGCAATTGCTTAAAAAGTCATACCATAACAAAAATGCTCAATTTATTTAAGCTAAAACGTTAAAATCTAATATGAGAAATTCTCACATTAGTTTTTGCAAAATACTCACACAAAGTATAATACAAGAAATTTTGAGAAATTATAGGTGCTAATTACTGTATTATGGACTTTTTAGGAAAACACTATGTATTAATTCGAGACATATTCAAGTTCTAAACATCCCTAAATTAAAACAATTAGAAAGTTTCTTAGTCAAGCGGGAACAATTCTTGTGATTAGTAATTAGCCCTGTTTCTAATCTCAGCTGTCTTCTAATCAGTGAGCTGATTTAGGCAGTCTGGGAATGTCTCCAGGCTTACGTTTACTCAACTTTACAGCAAAAGTGTTGAACCAAATGGTTTCTTGAGATTCCTTCCAGCTCCAACGTATTCTAATTCCAAGAGCAAATATTATCAGAGATGGAAGGGGCCACTGAAATTTTAAATTGTATGTCATAGAGGAGAAAAGATGAAAAAAAGGGATGAGACAAAAAGTGTAAAAGCCAATTCAAGTAAGGGGCTATCAAATTTTGAATTCAAATATCTTCTGAAACGTTATAGACACAACTCAAAAAAATATGGAAGTTAAGAAATTTAGACTATGTCTAGATGATGTAAAAATATCTGTTCAATTTAGTAGGAAAAAATAGAAATGCAGATGGCTTTCCTATCCAACACTGAATAGTTGGTTTCAATTACTTGACTGGTTGTTTTAGATTCCTTAGATCTAAGCGTAAACTCAGCTTCAGAGTTCGAGCTTCCATTGAAGGCGTAGAAAATTGCTCTCAAAAGTCCTTAATTTCCTCATATAAAAAGGCTTGGTTCTTTCTTAATTCGGAGTTCCCTTAATTGCAGACTACCCAGACAGACTCATCGTCTGTTTTTCCAGTACCATTTTTACATTACGACATATATAAATATAGTGCAGTTTACTGAGATGCAAATTTCGTCTTTCTTAAATCAAACTCAGAAAAGTGATTCCTTTAAAGTATACACGTGGATCCTAAAGTTTCTGTTCAGTTTAGCTGGAGAAGGCAGGAAGGGAAGAATGGATGAAGGCAAGGAAGTGGACAGGCAAGAAGGATAGAAGGAAAGAAGGGGACTCACAATTCCTAGCGTTTAAATTCTTAGCTGGAAATGGATAAACCGAGAAGTAATTGAGCTCAGTTTTTCGGGATCCAAGGGGAGAAGCAAAGAGGACACATTATTCTTTTTTCTTTCAGAATGTTTCAGTAAGACACTTCCAAAAAAGTATACTTCCAAATTTCCTGTTTCTTTTGCTCACCATCTCCAAAATTTCTACCCTGTCTTAGTCCTATTTTTTTTTTTTCTTATTTTACTATGAACCAGAAACTTTATAATCTGGTACATATTTACTTGTTTAAAAATTTAAGGCAATTTTATACTTCAAATTTTACATTAGCCTGGAAATCTTAGATTTCCAGTTCTGATCCTGTATACTCATGTGACCTTAAGAAGTATATTTAATTTTCCTGGCCACAGTTTGCTTATCTGTGAGAGGGGTGCATCCAACTAAGTTTTCTTTGGTTACTTTCATCTCTAAATTTCACTGATTCACTTAAGAAAAAACTCAGCAACTTGGGTCCAGTAGCCTAGTCTGCACTAGCATTTTTTATCTTCTTTTATACCTTAAAATGCTGCTTATAAATGTTGAAATGCAAATGTTTCCAGCGTCCAATCCCTGTTCCTTTTTCTATACTTTCTTTCTTGCTCTTACCATTGGAACATTAGTGTCCCTTTCGGAAAATCATGCTTCACTGCCAGGCTTCAGTAATGTGGTTGACATTAAAAATGAAAAGAACGTATTTGGGTCTTATTAAAAATGGCTATTCAGGAAATTAACAGAAATATTTACCAAATATTAATACTCTGTTGATGATTCTATTCTTACTTATCTCCATCCAACTAAACAGCATTGGTCTTTTGAAGAAAAGGCAATTTGATCACAAAGGTCTATTACTGAATTTTTTATAACATAGTATGCCATTCAAAATTCCTACATATTTTACCATCTGAATTGCTCAATTGGACAGTGCCTCATTTTATCAAACCGGCATTTAATACAATAAAACAACTAATGAGTTATGTCATTGCAAACATGGCATCTCTGTATGAGGCAGCAATAGGCAGAGGGCTGGAGAGTGTTTAATGCATTTAAGTGCTATATTTTATAGCAGATAGTGTTGATAACATAATATTAAATTATTAAAATAGTTGAAAATACTTAATGGCCAAATTCTCTATACAGCCATCAAGGCCAAACTCACATTTGAGTTTCATAGGAATGAGGTCTTGTCGCCTTATTCTTCCAGTAGCTTTGGTCTAATTAGATTGCTCATGTGACCATATTTAAAGATACTTGGAGAAATTATTTTCTCTATGTACTGGTGTATATTATAGTAATGAATGTTGCGAAATATTATCACAAAGTAAAATAATACTGTATTTTTATTCTTTTAAAAATCATAAACTGATGAATGACCTCATTGAACACTATTATTCATATTGTTTTATACTACAGTTCATTAGCTGTTTAAATGTCAAAGACCAAAGACTGGGATTTCTATCGTATTTAACTTTACAACACCACTGCTTCTACTAATTTATTCGAATGAATAGGAGGGCTTATTATTATAACATGAGGTAGTAAACACCCTCCTTGCAGGATTCTGAGCTGTAGACCATTAATTAATGCTTTTTTTTTTAGAAGGAAAACTTTGTTAGTGTAATCCACTTACCTTTTATACATGCGTAATCTACTCCTTGATATTCATAAAACCAACACATAAAAACTTTATCCCAAAATGGGTCCAGGATGGATTTACTAAGCTGAGTTTAAACTTTCATTGCTTGCTAAAAATTCTTTGAAGAATATAATTAATTTGAAATACTTTTAGAACCAGAGGGCTATTTTTTAAGTGTTGATTGAAATGGTTCCACTCTTTGAGAAAGTCAGTGAAAAACAGTAGAGGAAATGAGGTATAATGAACTGTGATTCTTTTTGTTTTTGCAGTCTTAATATCTCATTTGTTTGAATATCTATAAATAAAAGCCAAACAGGGTTAAAGATGTGCAAGGACATTCACTAATGATGGAAATATGTAATTTCAAGTTTGAGTGTCTCGTTATTTATACAATTCTTTAAACCAGGTCCACTACTCATTTATTTTGTTTTGTAATTTTCATGTAAATGTTTTCTTGTATATACAGATATGTAA